TAACTATAACCCGGGCGCACGCCAGTGGCCGGTGCTCATCGACAATGACTATGTGTTCATTATGGGCGGTGTGCTGTTAGGCCTGTCCAGCGGCTACTTTAGTAGCTTGTGTATGATGTACGCGCCCCGGGAGGTGCCGCCCGAACACGCGGGCACTGCCGGTATGATGGCGGCCGCGTGTCTCGTCATCGGGATCTTCTGTGGCGTCAACTTCTCGCTGGTTCTCTCGTGGGCTGTCAAACAGGACTGGTTTTGATCACATTTTTGTAGACATTTTTTTTGATTGTTTTTCTCTCTGGGAATCAAATTTACTTAAATTGTTTGCCTCCTCATTAGGTCTCTCTCTCTCTCTCTTTCTTTCTTTCTCTCTCTCTCTTTAATTACATATGAATTCAAAACGAGTAGTAATTTAACGCTTAATTTCTCGATAAAAAAAATTCAACGAAAAAAGTTTTATGCCTTAAAATGTTTGATCATTTAATGTACAAATACTTCGAGAAATATAAGTGTTTCGCAAAACTTTTCGCCTCACTATCGATGTGTAGTATTAAGACAGGAATTGCCGAGTTTTTTTTGGACCCCTAACCCAACACAGACTGTATGTGCGCTGAAATTTAATTAATTAATTATTTTATGATAGATATATAATCAATATATTTATACGATTTTGTTTTGTAAAGTACTTTTTTAGTCATGAAATTCTAGTTCAATATATAAGTTTTGGTTTTCACGAGTAATATCTAAAAACTTTTTTTCGTTTCAAGGATTTATAGCTCATAACTGTCTGTCCACACGATATATAGCATTGAATTACCGGTATAAAATTTGGTTGGACTTGTTTTTTAAGCGACAAAAATCTCTATTTTATTTATGGTGTTTGATAGCGAAACTCAAATATTTTATTTATACACACATATTGAGATTTTTATATTAATAATTAACTTGTATTTCTTAATTAATGAAATTATTTATTAGATTTTTATGTATATTTTTTAATGGGAAAAAACACTTAACATAGAGAATCATATGCACAGTGTATAAGGTCTCTGATTATAGCTGCGAGACATCGGAGGGCTAAATATACTCTGAAAGTGTTTTAGCGTTAAAAAGTGAGCTTAACATTGGCTTAACATTCAAATCACACCTCATTTTCTCGGCAAATATTTTTATGTATTAAATATCAAATATATTTTTCACATTTGATTCTCACTACAGACTAATAGACTCATGAAATCATAAGTGATTTATGTCTCTCGATATTTGAATAAAAAAAACTCAATTTTAGTTCAAATTCTTGTCTCAACGCCTACACACATACGCCAGAGTCGACTGTCCCCTCGACTTATACATAATGTTTATCTCGTTTTATTTCATAGTTTAATAACATTTTTACATTTTAAAAAGCTTTTAACACTAAATATTTATAAATTTACAAAAATACTTCAAAACTTCAAACTTTATATCGAAACTATTTGTTATTGTTTTTCATATATAAATATATATATTCTGGGAGTGAAATACTGATCACTATTATAATGATTGCTTTTTTTGTAATTATCTATTAATTTTGTTGTTATATATTAAGTATTGTTTAAAATACACAATCAATGATCTGGTATTTAATTATATCACACAAAACACATTTAATGCGAAAATAGTTATATATTTATATTTGTATCTCATTTTATACAAGAAAGTTATATTTGAATTCATATTTTATAGACAAACAACAAAACAATTTACAGTAACTATTGATCACACAATTGGTTAACAAATTGTTTTAAAATATATATATATTTATATTTAATAATTAACTATCAAATTGTATAAACATCTCATAAAATATAAATTAATTATTTCTAATTTGAACTCAATTTCATTGATATGTTTTAAAACAGGACTTTGCGACCACTTTTGATTCAAAAGCTAATAATCAAACGTAAAAAATACCAAATTATATAATAAATAAATCTCTAATTTAGAGAAATGTTATAATTATTAGACAAAAAATTAACTTAAAATAAAAACTTGTAAACTATTTGTACGTAAAGTATCCAAAAAGTCTAGTGATTAGATCTGATTCGCCATTGAATTATCTGTTGAGAACACACGCGGTGGTCATCACTACCACCACAACCATAGCATCAGTCGATAGTAGGTCTCGCTTTGAAGATATTCTCGATTTCAGTCAACGACTTGCCCTTCGTTTCGGGTAAGAAAAACACGACAAACAGAGTGCATGTGAAACACAGCACCGAAAACAGCAAATAAGTGCCGCTTTCGTGCAGACAATCCAAGAGCGTGTGGAACAGTTTGGTGATCAGGAATGCCATCAACCAGTTGTAGGACGAGCACAGGCCTGAGGCCACGCTCCGCACGTGGGACGGCAGCAGTTCGCCCATCAATAGCCAGGGTATGGGTCCCAACCCCAGCGAAAAGGTCACCATAAAGCTGATGAGCGCCACCACCGGAACCCAACTGAACTCTTGCTTAACCTCTTGACCCTCATTAGCGTCGCTCAGGAAGTGGTAGACCGACAGCGACAGCATCGATAGGCCGCACCCGATGGACGACACGACGAGCAACAGCTTACGGCCGGCCCTATCGGTGAGCAGACAGGCGGCCAACGCGGCCACCACTTGAACGACGCCCACGAGTATCGTGGCGTCCGCGGCGGCCAACGAATGGGAACCGCTTTGGGCGAAGATGTCGGTCGTGAAGAACAGCAACGCATTCACGCCAGACGTCTGCTGGAAGAGCATCAGCGCCAGCGTCAGCACCAATGGCTTCATTACGTGCGCTTTGCGGAACTCCCGGAGCTTTAGGCTGGTGTCGATGGCGGGCACGGAGTCGCCGGTCGACGACACCACAGAACCGCCGACCGACTGCTCGACGACCGTGTGTTGGGCGACGTCCAGGCCGTGCAGAAACACGTTGGCGTCCGTCGCGTCCGATATGCGGCCCCTTTTGATGAGCCAATAGGGCGTCTCCGGCATCAGACACATGAGCGCCAGTAGTATTATGGGGAACAGGGAGCTGATGACCGCCAGGTAGGCCCACGAGACGTACTTACCGGCGATGAACGATATGAGGACACCGACGCAGATGGACAGCTGAAAGCCGGAGCCCAGGAAACCGCGGGCGGACGGGTCGGCCGTCTCGGCGATATATACCGGCGCCGTCAGCGACACTAAACCGCAACAGAAACCAGTGATGAGTCGACCGATGAGTAGACTTGAGGCCGACTCCAGACGCCCGGCGTATGCCATCAATAGCCACCCCAAGACAAAGGGAACGGATGTCATGATGAGTGTCCCTTTGCGGCCGATGTACTCAATGGACGAACCTATGGATCAGTTGAGGCACACAATGACGCGATTAGAGGCAAGCGATTGGATCCGATGCCGAGATAATAAGACTAAATACCGGCGCAAACGCTGCCGAAGACGGCGCCCAACGCCATTAGGCTTCCCAACCACGAGAGCTGATCCGTCGACAGGTGGACGTGACTTCCGGGCGCCTGAAGACTGGGACTCGCGTTAGCCGTATAGCCGACAACCGTTCCCAACGCCAGTGACCCGAACCACGAGCTGATGGCCGCTATCATGTACTTCGGTATACGACTGAATCGCGACGACTCCTCCATTATCAACAGCGATGTGTCTGCCATGGCTTGGATCAGCTAATTGTGCGGTGGCTTTGGGTGTCTTCGGGAGCGTTGAGGAAGTGGTTAGCGATAAGACAGACACCGGAAGTGATGGATGGCAGCAATCAATTGAGTGGCGTATCAGATGGTGTCATAACAACAGCATCGATGGTCTGACAGTACGGGTGTCCACACAATGGATGTGATAATCGGCTGATTAGATGGCTATCACTGTCTGTGCACTCAATGACAGATACAATGGTTTTGACACTAATTTTGAGCACAAATTGTGATTAAAATAAATAAAATACAGATTTTTATGGCTTTTTCTGAACTATTGTTTTGGTGTTTGAGTTGTGAATGAGTTTTACAGACAAACAGTGAGAGCGTAGGGCCTATGGGAACGCCTCATACACTCTGACGTCTACACACA